TCTAAGTTATTAATTGAACTTATCAAGTAAAGTTCTAACTTTAATTATAAAAGGTTTAAACGTTTTGTTTACTATAATGTCTTATAGAAAAAGTTTATTTAGCCCCCTTTGGTAGTGTTTATAACTTCAATACCCAAATTGGTGTAAAGGCTTGAAAATGATCCGCGTAACGTAATCCCCGCCACAAATAGATTAGTCTCAAGAGTCAAAGTCAATATTTGTCGAGCGTAACCCTTTAATATCTCGGCAACACAATCGTCCTATACAAACGTAAGGTATACGAGAGCAACTCGCCCGGGAACTGAACCCGCGCCCCGCAAACAACAACCCCAACTGCAAACTACGAGTATCGGGTGACAAGTATTAATTAACCAAGCTAATGATAGTTGTATAGTCTATATTCAAACATAATTTGAAACGCTAAGATGTTATTTAATAGCAGTCTCATTTAACTTTTGAGTATTAATCAGAAAATTTATTTTTTTATCTCATTCGAGATGACTAATGTTTCAAAGGACAGTGTCTCATTGTTATACTAAACTGTCTGTGTTTTATTATGTTGGTATATATTTGGGACTAACTTGTTCATATTTTTTATTAGTTTAACTATATCATCGATTGCTAGTCACAAAATCGTTTGATTTAATTTCGTTAACATAATATATAACTGGTACTATCCCTCTCATTCGATGCATCGTCTCTTTCATCTGCACACTCTATTTCCGGCAAATCCGAATTTCCTGTGGGTACCAGCGGCGGGTATTAAATGTCGCGGACTTAAAAAGTGGACGCCACCCCGGAGCGCCGGGATACCGGGACGCTGGGAGGCAGGAAATGGTTCCTGTGTCCTGTAGGGCTGGTAATAGACTAGTCTGAATTTAGTTCTAGTATATAGCATGTTAGGAAACGATGAATGAGTAGTAAGATTACTTTTAACAGGCTGTCTAGTTAAAACTCTGTTATTTGAAGTATTTTTTGTTTCAATTGATACTTAACACTTAATAAACTTTAACTTAACATTAGATCTATAATATTTAAGCCACAAGTAAATAATAGCGAAATATCCGAACAGTCGCCAAGAAAAAAAATAACTTGAACCAGCCCTGGCCGCGTCACCCTCCTCTCCATAACAGTCCATTTTTAAGGATATTAAAAATGATTAAATGTGACACTTCTTGACCGTTAGCATACTGACATCAAATTAAATCGGAAATTGTGTTCGTAACTTGGAATTATGTCTTGCATTGACCGACTGGACAGGATTTAGTACATACTTAAAGAAATATTAGTAATGTGCCATTAAATGTTTATTCCAACATTGGCAATTACGATCCAAAATATTTGAAGCAACATTTTTAGGTACATTTCCGAAGACAATTAGTAATAGAATTGGAATAACAATGGGTTTTTTCTATGGAACAACAAATGCGTGCAAATTTATGTCAAATAAGTACAGTCACACGCAAGTGTCCCTCTGAACGAGTATTTATATTTGGATGCCAAATAAAAAACCCTCTAACGCTTAATTCGTAGAAGATTCGCTTCCACGGCGTCTCCTTCCAATATTAATAAATTCTCATTTCCAGGATTCGTATGCAATTTGCCCCGACGCCGGCGCGAAACTTACGACTCGCCCTAACCTAAATAAACCAAGGGAACACAAAGTTTTTCCCAACGTTTTAATGCGGCGAAAACAGCGAAAATTGAGTAATATTTCGTAGGGAGGCCCAGTTATTAGATTAATGGTGGGCAAAGTGGGGAAATAAGACATTCGCATAACTTCGGTCGGATTAACCATCTGCATGGGAACATACAGAATTGCACTTGAAAACTTTTTTTTAATACAAAGTATCGAGGTTTTATTGTGGCAGCATATTTTGTACATGGCCAGTTTTAAGATAAAGTGAATGATAATTAAATTTTTTACTTTTTAATTACACTGTCAAACTTTATCTTAACAATATGTATTCGAATGTTGTACATTATCTGTGTACATTTAAAAAGATAAAGCGGAGATTTAATTTCATATTTATACTGATATTATGTGAAATTGGAAAGGAAACGAGAGATATGAAAAATACATGCATAATTTGGATTGGAATATAAAACCGTAAAGCGTTTCCGATAAATTCATGAAGCCCACTTTGACAAGGCTCGTAATAACCGTAAAGTACCAGGCGTGCATGACGCAAGAGGCATTCTGCATAAATAATGTATAAATTCTTTCGGGGCGATTATTCCGCGATGCTTCTATTCCGCTGCGGTGCTTCTCAAAGCGAACCCGATACTAACGTAACTCAACACCGCACGCCTAGGAATTCCGTATTTCGCAATATCTACTCTGTTCCATAATGTCCTGGTGCTTCTATTAATATTATGTTGAAGCTGTCTTACAAAATTACGATCATGTTTTTCGAAGGGAAAATTATATTTAGAATGATGGCGTGCAATGGACCTGTTTGTAAGAGGTCTAGCATGTCTTGTCCTCTCTCCGTCGTCTATTACCTACATAAGTAATATTAATACATCAATAATACTTTAAAAAAAAGTAAGACAGTATAACCATATGTGCTATCATAGTATAAGTACAAAGATTAGCGTGTTATATTTATAACCACGCCTATACAAACATAACAGTGTCAACAGACATGTAACCGCTGAAGACAAAGCAAAGAATTCTCTCACTGGGGATTGCGGCGGAGGATTACGCAAGCCTTATAATTATTTTTAGCCCCCTGAAAGGGCTTAAAGTCGCAAGGTGGGATTTGTTGTTCCGAGACGTTATTCAATATTATTTCTGAGCGTGCGGGGCAGGGGGCGGAGGCAGGAGGCGGGAGAAAAGCGTGCGCGACGTGCTCGCCGATTTATTAATCATTAACAAGATTACACGTGACAGGGAGTGACAATCAGCGTGCGACGGGATGGAGGGACAGGATTTGAGTGTCGGACACGTTCTGTTGTGTGATATAAATGTTAAGAAAGTGATACGGGCATTTATTACCAATCTAAATAGCGTTGTAACCAGTATTCTTAACTATTGCGGTACTAATGCAGATTAATTCAAAATTTATAACAACAAAAGAAAAGCTTTCCAAACTCAACCGAATGTAGTCGACTTAAACGTGATCACAATTAAATCAACTAATCAATAAAATACAAGTTAGGAAGGTTCTAATTAGCAGCGCACGTAGCGCGGAGTACCGATATCCATCTGAGTCGATGGCGAATTGCAATGACCAGTACAAATGCATGGTGACCTCTGTCTGCCAAACAATATCCTAATTGGTTGTCACAATCTACAGATGGTAAACAACAACTTTTGATAGAGAAATGGTTATAAATTAGTACCGACTTAACTTGGGACATACAAACTAACAACAACCTTTTTCATAAAATTTGCTTCAAGTTGGAAAAGATATGGCCAATAAATGGTTGAGGAATATCATGTATAATGTGCTACAAAATTTAAATATTTCAATTTTTTAATCCTGCAAAGTGAAAACCAAACTGCTGCTTTAAAACGTTGCAGTGGAAGCAATCGTATGAGCTTGCAACAGGACATCGTGTATTCGTACAATCATAAATGCAACAGAGTAATCAGAGGGCAGCGATCCTGCAACATTTTCGATGGGGAAATGGTCGCAATGAGCGGCGGAATTCAATCAACAGTCAGCGGCTCTCTGCTCAGCTCGTTTCCCTGTAATCGGTGATCGGCGGCGAGCGGAGAGCGGCGAGCGGCGGCGGAGCGACACCAGTTCATTTGTTGCAAATTGAAACACAACGCAATCAGCGGCGGTCGCGTGTCACACTGTCATCGCGACCGAGGCGCGCCGCTAATCGAATGAATATTACACGGCTCGAGTGCGGTGTGCACGCAGCCCGCCAGCCGCCGGATGCGCTTTTTGACGACGATCCATCGGCAACCGCACACCGCTGCCAAATTCAAACTCGATTCACACCGCGCCAACAGGAGCGGGACTTTAAAATGCCACGTTCTGCACCCAAACAGTATCCGGCCGCGGTAATGAAAGCACTTAGCGCTAAGCGAAGCAATTACAAGTAATTTGGGACGTAATGGGCGCGGACGCCGAGGCGCAAAAACGCGAAGCGGCACGCGCTAAAAGCCTTCTAATTCGATTGTCGACGGGCACTACTACCGAAACGTGAGGCATCGACGTCGGAGCTTCGGCCGGGCGCCACATTTCAGAGCGGGTGCAATTAAAACCGTTTGGAAGTTTCGCGGAATCCGCGGCCGTAAAGAGCGGGATCCGGGTCGCGAACGAAACAGAAATAGCGCGCTCCGGAGAGCCCGCGTCACCTGAACCGAACGCCGGGAGCGCCTTCTTCGGCCCTGGTGATTTATGGGCCCGGATCCGGACCGGTAATGAAATTGCACCCCCCTCGCGCGCCGCCACCCCCTCGACCCCGCGCCCCAGCAGAAAGCCATTCTAGAAATTACTACGCAACGGCGAACCGTGCACTCGTCTTATGCTAATGTTTATTTTTTACGTCATCAATCACAATGATACGGCGCTCGCGCTCGATCGCAGCGCGCGGACCAGTTTAATTCCGTTAGCGGGGCGCTAGCGGGAAACTTCCTGGAACTAGGTCTTTGTGTGCGCAATGAAAAATTTATCGGTGTGTCGGGAAATTTTAATTGAAAATCCGGCAACATGGCGCCGGACAATTGTCCTAAACTGCCTCGAAGCGGCCGCGTTCGCACAATATAATGTTACCCTACTGGCCAAACTGTTTTGGAACAAAAAAAATGAATTCGGACTGTACCATTTTACCGCGTAACTATGACGATGCTATTTCAAATACACGAATCATTGCAAAAGCAAACAGTTATTCTTACTGTCCTTCTAACATTAATGAATGCGAAGACATTGTAACGAATGTTTTACTTGTATCACTTCCAGCAATATTATCATTGTTCTTTCGTTTTACATTGTACAAGTTAGTAGTAATCTAGCGGTTATAAGTGCAACTAGACTTACAGTACTCACCGTTAAGTGCTGGAAGAGCCAGGCTCGCAGGATGTTGGTGGCCACCTTGGGAAAGATGCCACGCTTCTTCTGGTTCTTCTTACCGTTGCTGTCATCGTCTTCCTCCCCCGTGCCCTCCCCTGAGCCGATGCTGGCGTTGCTCGCGTCGCCTAATAACAATCAAGAGAGTCAAACATTTGTAAAGAATCACATATTCTAAATAGGAGAATATATTTAGTACAAAACGATTTGAAAATATGTCATAGCACAGATGCATAGTTATTCAGGCTTATTAGTTTTTGAAATAAAGCATTTTTTTAGACAAAAATTAACTTATGTTTAAGGCAAATATTCAAAGGAAAGTAATAATTGGTACAGTACATAATAATTAATAAATAAGATAAATCCGTAGTAATAAATGTCGAGTTTGTATTTTGTTAAAAGCTACAATATTTTTTCACGAAAAGTTTTTGTTGTAACAGTCCGATTTGTATTCAAAAGAACAGAAAACCAAACTTCCTGTAATACGATCCCCTTTTAAACACATTCTTAGAAAATGTTCCAAGTATCCAAACTGTATCAAGTAACTGGAAATAGAAACACCAATAGACCATATGTCGTCTATCACAGGAGGATACTTTTAGACCACACGTGGAACTAATTAAGAAGTAAGTTTGCGTTTTTATAATGCATGATCTAGGTTTATCTAGAGATTTAGAGAACTAGATAAACAGTCTAGACAGGTTAGACAAATTTTCACAGAATCAGAATAACGTGTTAATCGCAAAGATGTCGCAATGTTCGCTTATCGGCCGCGCGTCTGGCATATTAATTAGAAACGCCGACTATTTATTTAATCAGCTGCCACGTCGTTGATTCCTATCTTGAGTATATACGCTTAATTAATTCTCGTTACGTCGCGATACACGTCGTTCGCTGGCTGGCTGACTGACTGGCTAGCTCGCTGGCTACGAAGATTTGATGAGGCTAGTCTTGTTACGTTTTGCAACAAATAGCTCGTTTTCTTTCAGATCGCATATGTGTTTTATGCTGTTAGCGATTTACAATGTTGCTGATTGAATATCAGAAAAATTGTCTGCATTTGAAATATTAACAAGAACATTTTGCAACTATGTAACACTAACAACTACTGTAAATCGTTGATCCCGTTAAGATGACAAAGGTTGACTTAATTTTAACTGTTTCAGTACAAACATAATATTGGTACTTAGTCAATTTATTGGAAAATATACCGAACAACACAACAAAAGTAATTAAAATTGTTATCGAGACGATTGAAAAAGAGAAACAGTGGGATTGCAACGGAGATGTTTTGCAATTCTGAATAATTAATGTGAATTTCACTGTGAAAATGTTATCCGCGTGTACCAGGAGAGCAGAGCACGATAAACAAATTAGTGTGCACTGAGCCATATCAAATATTCATCGCAACAGGAACAAATCGAATCAGCGGAGCGGCTGCGAGCGCCGTCTTATTTCTGCTAGCCTGGTTAATAAAAATTACACGAAATTTATGTTAGCCAACATTAAATTAAAAAGATAAAAAGCAACCTTTCCCATGTTTATTGATTGGGGAAAAAACTTGAAGTTTCCTTGATAATTGGATTTAGTATTAATTTGTATTGCTAAAAAAACATACAAACATTTATATTAAAAATAAATAAATACAATGCGTTAACTAGGAAAGCATCTGCAGTCAATAGTGTTGTGCGGCGTCCGCCGACTCGATATCGATAAAATAAATGACAATGATGAAACGCAACGCAAAGTATCGAGTATCCGCGTATCGTATTCGACCGGTGGCATGCACATTGTGATGGTAATAGGGGCAAAGTAATAAAATTACTCTTAGGCCATTACCCGTCGCCCCTGCGTCGCTCCCCACCGCGATATAGGGTGTACCACTCACAATAAAAATCTTTGAATTTGACAAAAACAGTGAGATCCACGGTCGGTAATTGTTTTATTTGCGAATTGAACTAACCCCAATGCTATTGTGTATATTGCTTTAAATTTTAACCATACTGCATTACAGATAATGTTGTTACCAAAGATATTACGAATTTGTGTTTACTTAGAATTTTGCTTAATTTAAACATTTTTCTGTAAAAAATATATATGATGCAAAAAGTCATAAAAACTATAAAAGCAGTTTCAGATGCATCTTTACTTCACAAATGGGTGATCGCTTTGGTTGAAATCGCGATTCAAAAGTAGGCCACGTTAAAGATAATGCTGCGGTTTGTATTTTACTCAAATCGTATTGGTTATCTTTCAATTGCGGTCGCGGCCTGTTATTTATCTCGACAGATATTTGAAAGTTATGCTGAACCTTCGCCAAGCGCTTCACAGAACTGTTGCGAGCGTTCCAACACTACGCAGAAATTCATTTGCTTTGTCTTCATATTTTACATTCCAATCTTTGCAGGGATTGAGCTGTACAAACCTTATTCTATTACCAAGTAGGTAAAGGTGTATTTAATTAACTTGTGAAAATGTCACAAAATCAAGGTTAAATTCATAGTAATGTTTTTCTGTTTTCACTTTCCATTTCTTCCATGGAAATAGATACATCCTGTAGTTTGATCAGCGTGCAAAATCAGAGTGCAGTTGCATGATGCAGTCCCTGTAATCCCCTAATTCATCTCGGGACCACGCACACAGGGAGCGACCCTTAATATTCACTAATACAACCCCAAATGGGTGTGTACAAACACAATGAGGGATGCGTGCGAAAAGTCAAGAGAACGTTTAAATTAACTTAATGCAATCGATGTGCTCGTGGCCCTGTAGGACTGTTGTTACACAACAGTTCAACGACCTTGTCTCTAGAAACACCAAGCAAGGAACTGATAACTTTACTGAGTACCTTTAATGTCACTTGTTTCAAGATCTTGCCAACCCTGCTTACAATAACTTTTTAGTATTTATGACCCTTATTATCTTGTATTAGTGCTTAATACTTAAGTTATATTGTAATTTTTCAGACAGTAACATAATCAGAGTAAGATATCAGGAGATCATCAACCCATGAATAGGGAAAATAAGCTAAAGCTTGAATATTTTTTTTACCATCATTGTTAGAACATAAAGTTAGTCGTTAGCAAACCAGGGCAAAGTAATACTTATAAACCACATAAATTAGCGCATTTTAATATCTGAAAAGCGCAATAAGCAAGATTGTCTAAAGTGGCACTTCGAAACATGAACGCTCATTAAAGCTAATCCATCAATAGTGTGGTGTTTGGTCCCGAGGCATTCGTAAGCCGATTGTTGCAACACGACACCGAATCCCCGACCCCCGGGAGAGAGCACGTCGCCTTCTCAGTTACAGGGATGCTGTGGTTACAGTTAAGGTTTGAAATATTTGATCATAAAATTTAGACAATTTTTTTTCGATTCTTATACATTTTAAACATAAATTTACAATTTATAATATTGTAAAATTACATTATTACATCTGTATATAAAATTAATATGTGTAGAAAATTTTGAAACATGACAAATATTTTAATTAAAAAGAGATGCTTTTGATACATCCAAAATTAAATACGATCAAAATAGAAAGAAATTGCACAAAGTAGGCGCCACGATAATTTTAAGAACTTCCATCGAGTGCTATTGACACCGCTCTCCTGCGAGATTTATCGACATTAGTGCGGGGCACAAATGAGTGCAGGGCTATCGAGTTACGCCAATCAACTGAAAGCACGCGCCGCTAGTGATGTACCGCCGTGGGAAACATCGATAGCAGGTACACCACACAAGAAGCTGTTAACAATTTTGATTACTTGATTATTTTTATAAGTTAAATACAAAGAATGTTTAAGTCATAAACATTGACATTCAAGGGCAATATTTTCTTGCGTACTGTTATTGGAATCCCGCCCTCATTATGTTTAACATAATTTACGAAAATAAGGGAGCATCGGCCCGTCTTAAGATCCTGTTTAAATATTAAAGGCGCTCGAAATTGCCAACGTGACATTTTAAAATAATCTCCCAATTTATCGATAAATTATTTTAACAACGTGACCAATCCCTAAAGAGCGACAAGCGTGGTGTCGTAATGCGCTCACCGATTTGATGGATTGGCTTCTTTGCAGTCCCTCCTATTTGCAAACACCCTTATCTGGGCGCTGAGGGTGCTGCGCGGGCAGCGGGGCTCGCGGGTGTTGGCGGCGGGGTGGAGAGGGGCGGAGGGGAGGGCTAATTAAAATTGGCACCCGAAACGAAGACCTATCGCAAATACATCAGGGCAGTTTCTGAGAGCTCTGCTGTTATAGACATAAAGGTCATTGTGCTTTGTCGTGATGTTAATTATGTTTGCGATGATGGAAGAGTCGGTTGCATCGAGCTTTTGTGAGATTATTGGGTAGTGAGGTAATAGCGTTGAGCGAGGCCCGCGCATTGCATACAGCGGGCACCGGGAACTGATGAATAGCGGCCGGAGTCGCATCAAATTAATACTATTATGCCAGCATTTTAAATACGAATGGGAATTTATTTTTTAAATAAACTACATCTCATATTACTGACAAATCTTTTATCAATAGTGCAAACGTCCTAATAACATTACTGAACATAAAACAATAATGAAATCAATTGTTCATACTTGGATAACGGGTATAGAGACAGAGAGACAGAGAGACGACAACCCTTACAGAGGTGCTCACGTTGCGCCGATTACACAGCATTGAAAATTAGTTTAATATCTCGAATTGACGATTCCGCCCGGAACGGGCAATTAAGAGGGAATAACACTCGGAATGATCCGGTAGATAGCCGAGTTATGGGGTGCCTTTATGGACCATTAAATGTGCCGTAACTCCGCAGACGAACGCTGCCGTTTTGTACGCTAAGCGATCTTACCCACGCTCGCTTCTTTGCGCTTCGCTTCTTCATTTAATCATCCATCACATACTTTGTCTGCACTTTTAAAACTATTTAACATACTTTTAAAGTATCCATCTAAGTACAAAGAGGTTATCTTATCACCAGGATAATGGTTCAGTCTTTACGTTAGCTTAGCTAAAACAGAGTCAAGATGTATCTTCTATCTATCTACTCAGCCATGAGACGCCCACTGCTGGGCATAGGCCTCCCCCAAGGATCGCCACGATGACCGATCTTGATGTATCTTACTAAT